TGCTAATTTTTTTCTTTATCTATAAAATTATTTTTGTGTGATGCATATTAAATGAAACAAACCTTTGTTTATAAATATTTCTCAGTGTTATTAGCATTTGAATTATAAATTTCACAAAATGACCAACTACTTCTTCTCTATAATATAACTTTTATCATGAACCTTTTTTTTAATATTTATCATCTCTTGCTTTTAAATCTGATTTTGGCATAAATAAAATATTTAAAAAATATGGAAGTAACGATTAGTAATTAAAATTCTTCATAATAAGAGTTCTTTTTTAAATCGTTCTAAATTGCAAATAGGGCTAGTGAACTGAGCCAACTCTTAACATATCCGTGACTTAGTTTGTTGACAACTTAATATTGAAAAAATTTACTTATTTTTTAGATGAATAAACTTTAATCTTTTGATATGTTTGGTTAGTTCATTATTTTGCGAGATTGTTTTATATATAGAGGCAAAATCAAAATTTAAGTTACAATTTTAAACATAAACCATTAAAAAAGCCCTCACCCACTTAAGCTTTTGGTTGAAGCGATTCTTTACATGGTATCAAAGTCTTGGTGTCCCGGGTTCGATCTTCATTGTCCCTCATTTAATTAATAATTAATCAATTATTGTGGAGTTTTCAATAGGCTCTCTTATAAGGGGACATATTAAAGATATATAAAAATATGAATGTAGCCCCCCTTGTCACGAATTCGATTCTCATCGCCCTCCACTTTCCTCTGTGAAATTTCTTAGCACAGGTAGGTTGAGTCTGATGCATCATTCACCCTTCAAGCCCAATGAGCTCTCGTGTGAGGGAACATGTTAGAGATATATAAAACCTTTAATATAGCCTCACTCAACAGTTTAAGCTTTTGTGTTGAATTAGTATTTTACATGGTATCAGAGCCTCGGTGTCCCGGACTCGATCCTCGCCGCCCCCCATTTTCTTTCTAGTGAAATTTCTTTGCATAAGTAGGTTGGGCCTAATGCATCATCCACCCTTTAAGTTCAATAAGCTCTTGTGTGAGGGGTCGTGTTAGAGTATAGTATAAACCAATGTTAAAAAAACCGGACTGGATCGGACCGGCTGGGTCGCCTGAAAACCGGTAAACCAATCATATAATCGGTCCGCGTGAAGTAACGGACTGGCCATGCATTAAAATCGGTGTGACCTAGCCGATTTTCGTGAAAATCGATGACCCCACCCAGTCCCAAAAAAAAATTCAATTTTTTTTTCAAAAAAAAAATCATAATGGACATACTGAAGTATTTGTTGCTTATTGACTTACCTAGGTTATGTACCTACAATATTAATACTATCTCAATTATGCATTATGCTGGAAATTTTGATTTGATTTATAGATAGAGATGTTGTTAACTGAACCAGAAGCCACTTATTACGATTATTATATTTTTGTTTCATCTTTTATTGGATAATAATGTGTGATTTGTTATTTTTTATATTAAAATATTTGAATTTTTTTTTTCATTTTTTTAGATATTTGAGTATGTTTATAATTTTTTAATATAAATTAAAGAATTGCATATAATTACTGGGTCATGTGGTTCAACCAATGACTCACTAGTTGAACCAGTGATCTAGTACTTCGACCGGGTCAATGACCGGGCCGATTTTAATAACATTGGTATAAACCACTAAAAAAGCCCTTACTATCAGTTTAAGCTTTTGGGTTGAAGTGGTTCTTTACATGATATCAAAGCCTCAGTGTCATGGGTTTGATCCTCGTCGCCTCCCATTTTCTTTGTGGAATTTCTTAGCACTGGTAGGTTGAGCATGATGCATCATCCACCTTTCAAGTTCAATGACTCTCTTATGAGGGTGTGTGTTAAAGAAGTAGATAAAATCATTAATGTAGCATCACCCATCAGCTTAATCTTTTGGGTTGAATTAGTTATTTACGTGGTATCAGAGCCTCGATGTCCCAGGTTTCATCCTCACTGCCCCTACTTTCTCTTGTAGAATTTCTTAGGACATATAGATGAGCTTGTGCATTATCCACCCTTCATGCTCAATGGCTCTTGTGTGAAGGGGCATGTTAGAGAAGTATATAAATCATTAATGGGCCTTCACCCAACACCTTAAACTTTTGGGTGAGACCATATTAATGATTTTATATATGTCTAACATTTGATATGTTTGGTTAGTTCATTATTTTGCGAGATTGTTTTATATATAAAGGTAAAATCAAATTTTAAGTTTCAATTTTAAACATAAATCATTGAGCTTTGAAAAGTAATTAATATAAATATCATATTGATTTATAAGCCGAATTGAGCTAAAATAATAAATTTGTTTTTTTACTAGGGATAAGTTATTCTACCTATTTTTTTGTCTATTTGTTTTTACCACTCTTTAACACCTTTAGATCAGAATCTCAATTACCTTTATCATTTCTCTCTCATTTTGAGATTCTGATCTAATGGTGTTGAAGAATGATAGTTAAAAGTAAGCAAAAAAAAAAGAGACAGGTAGAATAACCTATTCTTTCTTACTAAACGCAACATGATTAATTAAATTTAACTCAATTATTTCCGAAACTAATCGCCATAAGAAAGTAGAAAACAAATTAAATGAAAGAATTGATCTAGTTATATAACCTAGATATATTCATTAAATAAAACTACTTTAACCTTATTAATTAGACTTTAATTCCTTGTCTCCGTTAAAGAAGAGGAAGTTGAAAACTGCATCCAAAAAAAAAAAAGAAAAAGAAGAAGAAGAAATTGAAAACAAAAAGAAAGATTACTCTCGCTATATGACATATATATTCATAAAACAAAAAATACTTTACATTTTCATGTATATGCATATCTATTACAAAAAGAAATTAATATTTAAATCATGGGTTTAATATTTTTCTTACAAGCTAAAGATCACTTTATCTCCTAAACTGATGCGGGAATGGATGGATCCCTAAAAGAGGAGAGAAAAAATAAATAAATTTCACCCACTTCCATATAAGTGTGAGAAATAAAATTTGCAATAAAGACATCAATCCCCTTAAATAATAGCAAATCCACTACAGTAATTTGGAGATCACCCGATATATAACTTATCTTTCGTGTTCTCAGTTCACAAGTAAAAGTCTTTTTATAGTTTACAAACAAATAAATTTTGACACTTGTGCTAATTAATATTCATGTATTTTGTATTTTATATAAATTTGTAGTGAAAATCTCTAGGCATCCTTTTTATCTGCACTTTTAAATTTGAGGCGCTCACGCAATATAGTTTTACAACTAGTAAGGTTTAATTAGTAACTTATTAGAATGGAAAGTATACAGAATTAATATGGACTCCCTATCTTCATTTAAGAAAGAATAAAAAAATTGTGAAAAGAATTAATTAGTTTGTGATCCTGTCTCCATTTTTTTTTCCGGCTATTTTGTCCTCGGAACATGTCTTGAAGGCTAACAGCGGATGCATTGAGCTTCGTCATTCTAGGAAGGATGAGATTAATCCTCCATTTGAGAAGAGAGGCATGTCCTCTAGCCCAAATTCTTTTCTAAAAATTTGCTTGAGACAGGATTTGAATCCATGATTCAAGCAAAATTCTTTGGAAGTCAATTGCTAACTGATCTATCATTGGAGGTTACTATCTCCATCTTTACTATATGAGATTTTTGTCAACTCGTGTTATATAATCAATATTCACAAGGCTGGATAAAAACTTATTTTTATATACAAAAAAGTGGATGATATTAAGAATAAAATTTAATTCTTCCAAACAAAGTATTGAAAGAAATAATTACAACAAAAATTAAACTTCAGGCTTAACAAAGTATAATTTTGATCCTTATGAATACAAGCAATTAGTTTAAGGGGAATATGCAACAAGAAGAATGAAAATATTTCCCGATTCAACCACAAGTGGAATTCACTAGGAGAGAGAAAAAAGAAGAAGTTTGCAGCGTATTTCTTGAAAGGTCAGCAGCAAACACTCTCTTTATCCTGCAACATTATAGTTATATTTCTTTAGTTTAATGAAAAAAAAAAAAATAATATATACCTTCACATGTATACGTTAGTACTCTATGTTTTTATTTGATAAAAAAAAAATATCTTCTTACCAAACATAAATGATAATGTCAATTAATAATTAAAAACACAATTGAAATCAAATAATATTAAAAAATATTTCTCTCTCCTAATAACTGCCATCATATATAGTAACTCTTCTTTGTCTTATAAAATTAAATATTTATCTATCCTAACCAATGTTAATAAAATCGGATGACCCGGTCATAATGGACATATAATTGATCATATAATTGGTCCGGCTGAAGCAATACATCAGTCATGCATCAGAATCGGTGCGACTCGGCCGGTTTTCAAGAAAAATGATGAATCGGTCGGTTAATCGGTGGCTCCGTCCGGTCCCAAAAAAAAAAATTCAAAAAAAATCATAATGGACATATTCGAATATTTTTTTTGCTTATTGACTTACATAAGTTATGTATCTACATCAGTACTAATATTATCTAAATTATGCATTATGTAGAAAATTTTGATTTGCTTAATAGTGAGAGATGTTATTTACTGAACCTGCGTATCATGATCATTATATTTTTGTTTGATCCTTTATTGGATAATAATATGTGATTTATTATTTTTATATTAAATATTTGAAATTTTTATCATTTTTTTTAGATATTTGAGTTTATTTATAATTTTTTAATATAAATTATAAAATTACATATAATTATCGGGTCATGCGATTGAATCAGTGACCCACTGGTTGAACTAGTGATCCAATACCTGGACCGGGTAAATGATGAAATCGGTTTTAATAACATTGATGCTAAGAAATGATATCTACAAAATATTATATAAAATTACATGTATGTATATATATAATTATCCGAGGAAAAACAATATATCTATAATAAGTATCGCTAAATGTTCTCCACACGGCTCTTCTCTTCTCTATATATATCTATGAAATGTCTTATCAGATTCTATAATCACACATCCACTTCAAATAACCTCTTTCCCACACATTTCTTCTACACATGCAACCTCACACCCTCTTCGTCAAAAAGTAAAAAAAAAAAAAAAAAATGGTGAAGTTCTCAAAGGAGCTAGAAGCTCAACTCATACCAGAATGGAGGGAGGCCTTCGTCAACTACTGGCAGCTCAAGAAGCAGATAAAGAGAATCAAGCTTTCAAGAGTTCCCAAGCAACCCCATCATGCAAGTGGAGACTTAATTGGTCGCTCCATTTTTGATTCTCTTCACTACCTTGTAAAGAATATCACTCGCAACCTCTTAGGTTCCGAGGATGATAGCCTGAATATCATTCAGGTTAGTAAATCATCTTTTTCGGCTTGTTTTGGTGTTTTCCGGCAATGAAGGATGATTTTTCTGGCATGTTCAAAACCTGTTGGCAGCAAAATGTTACGCTCGGTGCTTGCGTGTTTCTCTGTGTTTTGTCTTCTAGTGTTTCAATGTCTTAGTGCATAGCTTTACTGCAATTAAGAAAAGTGAACAAAAAAAGTGACATCATTTTCTGACAACTCATTCTTTTCGAGAATTCACGGAAGTCGAACCTCCTCGCTTTCATATGCTCTTTTTAACCAAATTATTATTTTTTTAATTATGGCTGGCTTAACAGTAGCATTGTTACAATTTTATGGATATAATTAAGGGAATAATGTTTCTCTAGAAGATAAAATTATCTCCTACAAGCACACGTGTGTTGGGTCCTATGAAAGAATAGAGTCAAAAAGAAATTATGGGCTACAAATATTTTTATGTTTATGTAAGAGATAAAATTATCTCCTATAATATGAGAAACAATAATTCCTATAATTAATATGAATTGCAAAAAAAAAAAAAAAATTGGTTGCCAAAATAGTAATAATGTGTGTAACATCTAATGAGATTGATATAAAACGATCATGGATATTATTTGGTATTACCAAAGCATAAAAGAAAATGGTTTGACTATAGATCATAACCGATACTTAAGGAATTTAAATCTTTTGACTACTTTTGAGCACAATCATTTGAGCTTGAGTAAAAAAAAAATTAAACTAAACAATAGTGTGCATGAAAGTTGATTGCCTTCTTTTTCTTTGGTTTTTGCTATCAAAATGTCATGTACATCAATGAAATTGATATTTCTTGTTTCTAAAGTGAGTGGTAATAAAGGAGTAAGTACAATGAATGGTCATTAGAATTGCAAAACAAAAATTTGGAAAAGTTGGACGGAAAGAGATCTCAGAATTAATTTAGCGAGGTGAGTATACTGTGGGGATAAGGACTCTAAAGTGAGTTTAGTGGCCTCCTCTTTTTAAGAAAAAAAAAAAAAAATCTTTTCTACTTTCTTTTTGGAGTTTCTCAATCTCTCAAGAAAGCAAGAAAGTACCGGGTGTGGCGTTTGTGGATCTATCTGTGGCACTATTATGTCATTCATTGTATGAGATAATTATCTCATACAACATGAGATAAATAAATCCTATAAAAGAATTGATGTAAATATAACAAATGAAAAAAGTTGCAAAAGAAAAAGAAAAAAGAGAGAGATGTAAATATAAATATTTTCTGATGCATGCAGGTGAGGAAGAAAACCATAAAGGACAGCGGTGAAGAAATCTATGAAACAGAGCTTGCACAGTTATTTTCAGAAGAGGATGAGGTTCGTTTCTTTTGTTATCTGTGTAATAATTTATATTCTAGGACTTACATCAATAATTTAAAAAAAAATAAAAATAGATAGTGTTTTATTTTTAATTGTATATATGAGTTGGTCTTGATCATTAATTGTGCAGGTACGTGAGTTTTTTGGGAAGCTGGATGAAGAGCTAAACAAGGTGAACCAATTTTTCAAGACACAAGAGAGTGAGTTCCTTGAGAGAGGAGAAACCCTGAACAAGCAGCTTCAGATTTTGCTTGATCTCAAGCGAATTATCAGTGACCGGCGCCGCAAAAATTCTCCGTCAAAGGCATATAACACCGAGATTTTCCCTCGTTCTCCAGCCCGGGATTCCGATTACTCGGGTCAGCTTTCTTATTCCTCTGATTTTCTTTCTATCCAAACGCCAGACATGCACGAGACTATTGCGTATAATAATAATAATAATAATAATGAAAAATAATAATAATAATAATAATAACAATAAGGGAAAAATATTTGTTCGTTTATAAGATATAATTTTGTATCATTTTAGATTTTAACCTCTGATTTTCGTCGATCAACAGTTAAGATTTATTGGGTTAAACTTATTTATTAATTATTAATTTGCAATAAAATTCAATAAATCATAACCGTTAATCGACGGAAATCAGCGGTTAAGATCTAAAATGATACAAAATTATATTCTTTAAAAAGATGAATATTTTTTTCTAATAATAATAATAAGAGAAAAATATTTATGCTGCTTTCGTGCATAAATTTTTTTCCCACACACTCATATAAAAATGAATGAATCATATTATATAAACTTTTTCTCTCTTTTCTCATTATAATATATTCACTTTTTTTTTATATGAGTATGATAGAAAAAATAAAATAAAATTAGAAATATTAAATCTTAATAATAATAATTGTTATTAATTTTTTTAGGAGTTTTAGTTTGTCCTTTAACATGACACGGAAAACTTTTCTACACATACAATATTTTGTGGGACCCACACTTTTTAAAGCAAAAGAAAAAAAATTCAGACACGCAAAATGAATATCTATAATATTACACAATCATTTTTTTTACAACATAACTCTTATAAAACTTTTTTTTTTTTTAGTATTATATAAAGGATACGAGGACTAGATTTTGGGGTTTGTGCTCAAGAATCAGGTGAGGAGCCAAGAAAATTCCTGCAGTCAACTTGTGTTTTTAATTGCAACATAGGGAAAATAATTGCATGTCTAAGTTGACTATTATGTGGACCATAATCTGCCCAACGCATGCTTCAATATGCATTAAATTTTAAAAGCAATGATATTTGTAAATTATTTTTATTATATTATTTATTTTAGATTACAAAATTAAAGTACACATTTTAACATGTATTTTAATTGATATATTTTGAAATAAATAAAGTGTGATGACTATATTATTTATATTTTTTTAATTCTTATAACATTTGCCTTTTATAATATTTATTTTTTGATGTGCTATTATTTCTATATTCTCCCATATATCATTGAGTTGCGTAGCTATATGTATTTGTGCAGAAAATTTAGGAGATTCAGATGAAACAAATTCAGAAATTTCACAAAGTACAGAATCTACAGAAGAAATAATCACAACATTAGAGAAAAATGGTATAAGTTTTGTTAATTCAGCAACGAGGACAAAGACGAAGAAGGGAAAGCCAAAAATGGCAATGAGAATTGATGTTCCAGCCACCAACCCAACTCGGGCGATTAAAGCTATTACTAGCATGCTGTGGGAGGATTTAGTGAATAATCCAACGGGAGATTTCATTCCCAAGAGAAAAATTCAATGTGCTGAGAAAATGATTAGAAGTGCATTTGTGGAGCTCTATAAAGGCCTTGACCTACTCAAAACTTACAGGTTTTTATTTATTCATATTTTCAGTAATAATTATTAATATCTTTTTTATCCAAAACCAATCTAATAAGATGGCCGAATCATCTAATTAAAAATTAAAAATAATAATAAAAGGACCTAATTTTACCTAGATTATAAGCTTATAAAGGTAGGATTTGTTAAGGATTAAATTAGTGTGGCCGAGCCGGACTTTGACATAAATAAATCAAGTGTATGTAATATATTTTGAGCTAGACATGATTTCATAATTAGATTAAGGTTAAATAATAGATTTGGCCTTTTTTTATTAAAAAAATATCTGACCTGATTTATTAACGCATTTAAGATTATTAAACTTTCTAAGGCTAATTAGGCCTTTTAAACCTTTTTTTTCAATTCTTAACATTTGATTGGGAATGTTACTTATTAAAAAGTGGTATATTTATTAGGGTCGGTATACCAAACGAAAAAATATATACATTGTACGCATATTGAAACTAACATTAACTTAAATCACACAATTCAAATCTCAGATAAATTTAGACAAACTTAGGAGTTACGGTCTTGCTTATTAAGCTCCCTAAGTCTTTTAGTAAACCCGAGATTGCTCTAGGTCAGGTTGAAACAGAATTGGATGTTAGACTATAGATCCCTGATTGATGTGGCCAATTTTATATATTTTATACAAAGAATATATTTTTACTTACACAGTAATTTATGCTTGTGCAAATTTTATTATTTAATTATATTAACTTCATTTTTTTACACTTACATTTTATTCTTTATAACATATTCCAAATATAAAGTAATTAGTTTTAAGTTACCAAAAAAACAAAAAGTAATGAGTTTTATAAAAATGTGCACCCATAAATTTTTTCCTTGCTTTGTATGGGAATGGAATGGGCCAAGAGGTTTCTATAAGGATCTATAAAGTTAACTTCGACACACACTTCCTTTTAGTGGCCAACAAAATCGAATTGTATATCTTTCTCGTCAAATTGCGTTTGACCTTTTTCATTTCGTTTTTTTTACAAAATTTAAAATTTCCTTTTCCATTTATTCATTTATATTTATCCGTAAATTTAATGTAATATTCTATAGATTCCGAAAGGAGAAAGAGAGAAAGAACCATATTTAATAACAACCACCAATTTTTGTTTTTTTTTTTCCTTGCTTAATTTTATGCATATATACGAGGAAACCGAAAAAAAACAATCATCCTACTTTTAGCAAAGTATTTAATTAATTATGCAATCAGTTTAGGAAATTCTAATAAGGTACTTTATATTAATAATAGATTTAGGTGACAAACAGTCTTGACCACCGGAAAAACTTGGAGTTCGAGTTTAAAGTTGTTGCATAACCCTTGTGTTCTGGTTGCTACTAATGAAAAATGATTATCTCATCATAAAGAATAAAATTAATAATTAATTAAAATCTTTTTATTTAGCCAACAAATCAACAATCTTAATCCAATTGAAAGTACATATGCAAGATTGTAAATGGAAAAATCAAATAAATGTGAATAGGGTCAGCGAAATGCTAGAATGTTACTCATCTGATAAAGATTAAAGACAGTGTGAAACAATTTATGCCTTGTGTGAAATATATTATTACGTATACATTATAAACAGCTTCACTTCATTTGGTCACGCAAGTGTGTGTCATTCATCCTTACATATCTTTAAGAAATATGTGTATATATTCATTGGGTGGTGAGCTATAGGCTCTATCCACTTACTGTAAGCACCTCTTTCTTGATTGAGCAATTTCCACTCACATTCTTTCATTTTGGCAGCTCACTCAATATGGTAGCATTTTCAAAGATCCTCAAGAAATTTGACAAGGTAAGGCTTAAAATATATCCTCCTCTTTACTCTTGATACACTACATTTGCAAATATATACATATAGGGAAACACACAGAGGGATTTGATGAGATATTATTATTATTACTTTATTTTTTTGACTAAAGATGAGATATTATTTTTTTCCTTAGTTGGTTATACTTTTGCTATATTTGCATGAAAGTCTTGCTGCTAGGTGGGGTCACATTCAATCACATATTTGTAAGAGTAAAGACAAACATGAAAAGGAAGTTAAGTTTCCCAAGAATTAATCCTTTGTCGTATCATCCATCATGCTTAAAACTAATTTGTACCTGTAGTCTATGCTTCTCACATGAAGGCTGTGAGAGTCTTAACAACTATTTCCATGATTGAGAAAATCAACCTGATTTCAAACCAAACTATATTTGATTCACACCACACATGCATGACCTAAAGATAGAGACCCGCCCACTACTTTCTCCTTCCCATTCCCCTTCTGAGTGATGGATTATTCATATCTTTTGTCTAAATCCCTGTTTGATTCATAGAGTATGCACCTGCTACTTATTTAGAGTTTTAATTAAGCTTCATTCTATATCTATTTAATTTCGATTACAGCTATGTGTTTAACACTATATGAACTTAACATTGTTTCTTTGAAGTCTGGGTGAATAAGAAAAATATGTATTTAATGAATATAACACTCACTATTAAAAGTGTAAATTAGTTAAGTCAAGCCAAATTTGAGTCTAAACAAATTAGATTTATATAAAATATTTCAAGTCTGACTTGTTTCATTAACCTAATACAAGTTAAAATAAAAGTTGGCTTATCTTATTTTTAAAAAATATAATGTTTGGTATGGCCTATCAAATCCATTAAGCCTTAGAAAATGACATATTGCACTATGTAAATTATATGTCATTAATGAAACTTATCAAATCGTTGAAATAATTTACATAGGTTCCAACCATATAGTGAATCATTTTTATTTAACATGTGTTTATTCACTTGTTATCTAAGTAATATTAAAAATAAATTATTATTTCAGTTCCTTAAGAAAATTGAAAAGATAAAAAAAAAATTCGGAAAAATATTAAGAGAATTTTCGGCCCATATTCTAAGGATATTTAAAATTTTATTAATTTAATCAAAAGCAAAAAAATTAAGTAAAAAATTAAACATTAATTGAATTATATTAATTTTTTATTATAATTAAATTTTAATTTAATTTAAAGTAAATTAAAATTTTATTATATATGCACACATGCACATACAGATACACATACACACATATATATAATAATTTTCATAATATTTATATTTATTTAAATTTTTATATTATACTTAAAAAATCAAATTTTATTTTTATTTTTACATTAAATATACATTATACAATTGACACTTAATTTATACTGATATATGAAAGTTAAATTTATATTTTAGTGTGTTTTATGAAATTATTTGGATTCATATTTATTATATTTTATTGAATTAATTTAAAGTTACATTTAATATATTTTAAGAAAAATATATTTATATATTAAAAAAATTAGTCATTTATATTATAATATTTTATTTATTTTTATTTTATTTTATTGAAAAATAAAGGCCAAGTCTAAAGGTTTATTCTATAATCACATAGAGCTTATATATATTCAATGCTTAATAGCTGGTGCTTGGACGGTGCTTTCATCCTTTTTATCAAACATGACATTATTATTCTACAATCATAATAGGGCGCCTGTGTTTCTGATTTTTTTTTTTTCAAAGTTATAATAACTTTTCCATTTTGGAAATATAAGAACCACTAAGGTTTACTTTATTAAAAAATAATATCCCCTAATTATATCAATTTGAATAAATTTTTTATTACATATATAAATTAGGTAAAGATTAGCTAACGTGTGCCTTTAGGACACCTTTAATAGGATGAAAAAAGTTACAAAATAAAAATATATAAATTTAATAACCTAAAAATTTAAAATCATTTAATATCTTTTTTTATTCTTAAAACTAATGATAAACTTTTGACCTCTGTCCTTTTAAACAAGAAAATGTGATAAATATTTTTTTTTTTGATAAATAACTTGAAGGTATGTATCCAAAAGAAAAAAAAAAAATTGAAGGTATTCTCACACAAGCCACCTTATTCTCGAATGTATTCTCCTAAAACTAACTCTTCATTGAAATCGAACTATCACAAGAGGAAGGGTGAAATTAATCTCAGTTGGAAGGAAAGAGGTTTCCCTCTAGTTCCCTTTACACGGCCCATTAGTCCGAAAATATCTAATATACTACTACCATTTGTTTGTGATATTTGTAAACATAGGAGAGAGAAATATTTTTGAGTAAATACATTTTTGGTCCTTAGCAAATTTCACAACACCCGTTTTAGTCCATAGCAAATAAAAAGGCTCATCGTGGTCCCTAAGAAATTCAAAATAGACCCATTTTAGTCCTTTTAGGGACTAATATGGGTCTTTTTTGAATTTGTGAGGGACCAAAATTTCAACTAAATGAGTTCATTTTAAATTTCTTAGGGACCACGATGGGCTTTTTTATTCGCTAGGGACTAAAACGAGCGTCGTAAAATTTGCTGAGGACCAAAAAATGTATTTACTCAATATTTTTTTATCCAAATGTCATTTGTTTAATGGAAGAGTTAATTACTACACATATGTAGGGAAGATGTTATCCATTAGTCCATTACCAATTTTTATTATAGGACAAAACATTCATGTTGGAGAATGTTTTCCCTCTCTCGAAATAATCACTTTTCATCACCGGAGCATGATTTCCCAAAGTTTCAGCAAACGCACTCACTCACGGTCACATGCAGAACCACCAATGCCCCACTCCTACCCTGGATGAACACTTCAGATCAGATATATATATATACTTAAACTTTTTGAATAAATCAAATCATCATTAGTAGTTAGTATTTGTAGTAATAATAATAATAATAATAATAATAAAAACATTTACTACCACTTCAACTTTTAATGTGTGTTATTCTCCAAAAAGAAAAACTCTTAATGTGTGTTCAATTATTTACCCATCTCATTAACGTCCAAATTGCAGATACGTGATTATTATGTAGTTTGTGAAATTAGTATTGCACATGAACTATTTCATTTATTTCCTTGGCATTGATGATTTATTTGTGGATAAGTTTTAACATAAATTCCTAAGATATGAACAAAATCACATTGCCATCTGATCGAGCAGGTGTCTTGTCAAAAAGCTTCTGCAAATTATCTAAAAGAAGTGAAGAAATCCCATTTTGTTAGTTCTGATAAGGTATGTTGGTTTCTTTCTAATCCCTTCATTTCAAAAGATGGGGAAAAGAAAAAGGAAAATAAAACAAACATATTGTATTCAACTTTTGAGTACCTTCTGATTTTGGTCTTCTCAAATTATTGGTGTGGAAAATGGGTTATATGGTATTCTAATAAGTGGTTGTTATTATAATAATACTTGGTTTTTAAGGTTGTAAGACTAATGGACGAAGTGGAATCCATATTCACAAAGCACTTCGCCAACAATGATAGGAAAAAGGCAATGAAGTTTTTAAGACCCAAACAACATAAAGACTCTCATATGGTCACCTTCCTTGCAGGTAATGCTTCTCTCTTTGTCAAATTTGTATCTTTTGTTTTGTCGAAATAATTATGATAACTAAAAGTTTTTGGATTCTATTTCTCTCATGTTGTGATGGGGCTCACCACCCATTAAAAAAAGAAAAAAATAGTGGCACAACTTTTTATGTGAGAGGAACATAAAATAGTTACCTCATGTAAAATAAGACAATGATTTTCCAAAGTTTTTCCTTCTCATATTAACACCTCATTATGTTTCTTAACAGGTTTGTCCACAGGTTGTTTTGTATCCTTGTTTTGTGTATACGCAATCTTGGCCCATTTGTGCGGTATATTCTCCCCTAGCAATGAGCAAGCTTATATGCGAACTGTCTACCCTGTTTTCAGGTGCTACTTCACATTGTTCCAATTTGAACATATTTATCACATTCTCTCTTTTATGTGCTATAGCAGTTACTGGTCTTCTATTCCACATCCTAACTCTATGACCAAAATACTACATATCATATAGGAATGTGTTAAGTAATTCTGAAAAACATGTTTGACATAAATAGATTAAGTAGAAAAAACAGTTTGAAATTAATTCTCACTGATTTATCTCTATTAGATGCCCTTAAATTACTACTTATATGGCAAGTTATTGATAAGGGTAAAAATGAGATAAAAACTTCCCCTAAGCATATTATACAATCCTATCTTTTCTAACTCCCATTTATAATTATAGACCATGAAATTAAAAATACTTAAACTAAGCAGATTTTAAGAACTTGCCTAAACACTTCATTTCCATAACTTTTGACAAATATACCTATATAAAGTGCACTAATGGTTAGAATAATTTTGTGCAGTGTGTTTGCATTGCTAAGTCTGCACTTGCTTATGTATGGATGCAACCTGTTCATGTGGAAGAATACAAGAATCAATTATAATTTCATATTTGAATTCTCACCAAGCACAGCACTCAAGCATAGAGATGCATTTCTTATATGCACTACCTTAATGACAAGTGTGGTTGGGGCAATGGTAGTACACCTGCTTCTGAGGGCTGCAGGATTTTCTCCTGGCCAAATTGATGCCATTCCTGGACTTCTTCTTCTGGTTAGTCATGACTATTGCTTTTCCTTGTTACTCATAGAATAAAATAGCTTAGTTTGCTTGACATTCAAGAAAATAATTTATAATACTATGTCTGGTATTTAACTTTCAAAGTACTGAAAAGAAACTTAAACCTCTATGCTGATTAACTGATTATGAACTGCCATTTTCAGTTTTTCATAGCACTGCTCATTTGCCCTTTTGACATTTTTTATCGCCCAACCCGTTACTGCTTCATCCGTGTTCTACGCAACATAGTCTGCTCTCCATTTTATAAGGTGAATTTCCTTGAGTGGACTCCCTGAAACGATTGGAAACATAATACATTGTAATACATTACAAGGAAAAACTGAACTTGCATGATTTCATTTAATCTATCATCTCTACAGGTTTTGCTGGTAGACTTTTTTATGGCTGACCAACTAACTAGCCAGGTGATCTTATTATTGCAAACAAGTTACTCTATTTTTAAATTTTTTTTTTTTACTTCTGCTTTTTATTATTCATCCTAACTAAGGTTAAATTATATGTTATGATTATGGATACAGATTCCATTGCTAAGGCATTTGGAAACTACAGGTTGTCATATTTTTGCTAGAGTTTTTAAAACACACCACCCCGAGACATGCCATTCTGGAAGGCTATATATGGAAATAACTTATATCATCTCATTTTTGCCATATTTTTGGCGTGCTTTGCAGGTAAGCCTTTAAATGCTTATTGGTAATTGAAAATTGTCTTTTGACTTTGTAAACTAATCAATTGCTTCAAGAATTGGGAACATGCTATATGGTTGATTGAATTTTTTTACTGCATGTTCTCAGTTATATCATCAACTAACACATGGTTATTGAATGTTCTTACAAGTGTGCAAGAAGGTGGTTTGATGACGGTGATGTGAACCATTTGACGAACATGGGAAAGTATGTTTCAGCAATGGTGGCAGCAGGGGCTAGAGTAACATACCACAGGCAATCTAACCATCTATGGTTAGCTATAGTCTTAATCACTTCTGTGATGGCCACATCTTATCAATTGTACTGGGATTTCATTAAGGACTGGGGATTTTTTAATCCCAACTCCAGAAATCCATGGCTGAGAGATGATCTAATTCTAAGGAATAAAAGCATATACTACATGTCTATTGTAAGTTTGCTTTATATCTTATAGATCTGAATATTACAATCATAAATAAGCTTTTTCATATCAGAAAGTGATGTTGGATTGCAGGCCTTAAATACTGTCCTAAGGGTGACATGGGTACAGGCTGTCATGCATTTCAAAGTGGGGGATGCTCAATCGCGGCTACTAGAGTTCTTCGTAGCTGCACTTGAGGTTATTCGAAGAGGGCATTGGAATTTCTATAGGTGCATTTTTATCACTGAATGATTTTATTTTTTATTTTTTATTTTTTCAGAATTTCCTCCTTGAATAGTGCATTAAATCCAGTGAATTAGGAGTTTAAAATGCTTATCTCATCCAAAAACACAAACCTATTAGAGTTTGTAAATAAACAAGTCCTCTTAAAACCCCAACCCTTCAGAGGCAGGCCTAGAAAGGGTTTATGTCTAATACTCCTCCTCACATGAAAACCGTTTGAGCTTGAAGTGTGGAAAAAACACATGCCTATTTAAGTTTTGATACTACGTTAAAAACCTGACTCAGGGGAGAGTGACCATTTTGCCACGCTTCACCAAATTATTTACCAGACTGCCACGCGAATAGTAAAAATTCCCGAAATGCCACGCGGCATAATTCGCTACACTGTGCAGCGAATTATGTTTGCAAATAATTCGCTACACAGTGTAGCGAAATATGCCGTGTGAGGCTGCACAGTCAGCAAAAATAACACGTGTCAAGCTGACAGTAATTCGCTGGGGTGTGTGGCGAATTATGCCTGTTATGCTGTCAGCTTGACACGTGTCATTTTTGCTGACTGTGCAGCCTGACACTGCATATTTCGCTACACTGTGTAGCGAATTATTTGCAAACATAATTTGCTGCACAGTGTAGCGAATTATGCCGCGTGGCATTTCGGGAATTTTTATTGTTCGCGTGGCAGTCTGATAAATAATTTGGTGAAGCGTGGCAAAATGGTCACTGACTCAGCTTGAAACCTCAAGCTTCTTAAATATCGGTCCTTAACAGTTGTTAAACAGTGAACAAAATCACAGGATCACTCATAAACTTCATAACTTTCTTGAATAGGTTGGAAAATGAGCATCTAAACAACGTTGGTCATTACCGGGCAGTGAAGACCGTTCCACTACCATTTCGAGAGACAGATTCTGATTGATGAGGTGGTTTTGTTATACATTTAAAGATGTTCTATTGACATGCTCACAAGAAAAAGGCAGGGAGTAGCTGGAAGAAAGTCATCTCCTAAACGTGTGAGATCACTCATAATTTGTCTGATACTCAATGGAAGTGTGAATAGCCACCAATTGCAATGCAAAATATGCATCTCAAATGACATTTCTCCTGTAAATTGGATCTCAAAATTTGGATTTCCTGTTCTATATCAATATCATCAGTCAAAAAAAAAAAAAAACTTTTCTTTTTTCCTTTTGTTTAGCGTCTATTTCTCTTTTGTTAAATTGGTGTAAGCAATTACAAGCTTGTTTCTCTTTGATGTATTGTAAACTGTAATCAAGAAGAAAAGAAGTACCAATATAACTGGTTGAGAGTACAACAAGAGTTGTTGATAGCGTATTGAGAACAATAGCACTAAACAAGTTGTAATTCTGTGAAAGCATTGCTCAAACTTTGCATGAATTTAGAGACCATAAAAACAGTTCATGTTGCTTTAATATCGGACCTTGAAATGTTTGTTATCAAACTGATAGTATATATGAACCACATTTACTTTTAAAATGAATTATTCTTCATTCTATATTAGTAAGCTCTTCCTGGAGCTAAGCCTATGACATTTTGGTCTGAGCTTTGAGGACAATAAAATATGACTTATATTTCAGATCATATTATCCTTCAATGTTTCATCATTAAGCCCAAACAGACTTGAGGGGTCGAGCAACGATAATCTAGAAAGCTACAATAACTTTTAATTCGAAGGAAAATCATGTTATCAATTAGCAAGATTTCATATAATATCTCAATTAAATTTTCTCTGCTTGCTATTTTCTTAGTGTATTGAATGAAAATAAAAATTCCTATAGTTGTATTAACTTAATGAAGAGTGAAGAGAAAATCAGTTCTTGTCTCGTCCTCAGAGGCTATTCTTTCCCAGCCTGTTCTGGTTAGTTTTTGCATGACATTCTCGTTTGTGGTATTAGCACTCAAGTTTTTCCCAATGTTCACAAAATACCACAGTTCATGTGCCATTATCATGTATTTGACAGGAACAGCACGCTGGATCCACTCCACACACATCGAAAAGTTAAAACTAATGAGCCACATTGTCAGAAATTTAATATGAAAGCCTCTGCACTGCAAATTTCCAGTGTTTATGAAGTAATTCAAGAAGGAAACTCAAAAGAATGGAAAACCACTATAATTTTTATAACCACATATTCATAACATGAATGACTGTTCAATTCAAAGTTTCAAACAATCTAGGCAACTATTATAGGATGCTTGCTTGAAGGAAAGAAGAAGAACAAACCAGGTAATTCTATTCCGTTGTCAAAAACACTGCAATTCTCTTGGCAATACAATATGCAGTGGACTGGATAGTTATCATGGGATTGACACCAATTGCAGTTGGCATCAGACTTGCATCACACACAAATAAGCCTTCTGCTTCCCAACTCTGACCATTTTCATCAACTGCACCTTCCTTTTCAGTCATGCCCATCCTACAGCTCCCCATCTGATGAGCAGAACCATATATACTCCATTTTTCTTCATGTGACATTGGCCCTCCTGTTGCATATACTGATTCCAAAAACTTCTTCAATTCCTTTTCATTATTCCCTTTACACTCAATTCTCTGTCCATCACTTCTGTGAGTACCTACTTCAACAGCTCCTGCCGCTATTAGAATCCGCAGTGCCTGCTGCAATCCATCCTTGATGTTCTCTTTGTCTGATTCAACTAACTCATACTTTACCTTACCTTCAGTCCTAACTTCTCCGCAACCCTTGTCTCGAATAATTGTGATCAAATGAACGGTCCTTGAATATTTGAGCATTCTTTCTTTGAAGTCAAGTCCAGACACCCAAGGAAACAGCGAAGAAAAAGTTCCTGGGGCCAGTGCTGGAGTTTCAATTATTGCTTTTACTTTGGAGTCCTCTGATAGAACCTTGTGGAAAGAAGTGATTATTCCTCCCTCATAGCTTTTACCCTTGAGATCAGAAATTGTGTCTGGAAAATATCCCCATGTCATTAGCACTGGATGGAGATGAAGGTTCCGGCCAATGTTCTTATTCTTTAAACCACTGGAGATCATTAATGGAGGTGTGAAAAGAGCCCCACATGCAGAGATTGTGACTTTGGCCTCAATTTGCAGTCTCCATGTGATATTGTTTGTTAAAACATTAGCCATCACTCCTAAGCATTTCTTTCTTCTTACACATCCTCCCTTATTCTTTACCAGCATAAACCTGTCAGCTTTGCATCCTGTTAGAATTACTGCACCATGATCCACAGCATCGACAAGCCATGTAACTTCAGTCCCTTTTTTATCTCCTCTTCTACAACCATAGTTGCAAGACCCACAGTAATGATGTTCTGATGAATTTCTAGGCACATAATCAACTTGAAGACCAAGATTCTTACAACCTTTTCGGAGAACTTGATTTTGGAGCCCTTCCTCCACACATCTATCTGTTACACCAATCCTTTTACACACCATGTCCATGGCAGAAAGATATTCATAGCCTGAAAAGAGTGATAGCTTCTGGTCCTCTGCCCATTCCTTAAGCACACAATTTGGTGTTCTAATAGATGCAGCCCAATTAACAGCAGAACCACCACCCACAGTTGACCCTGCAAGAATTCCCATTTTCCCATCTAAGGATGCCATAGTTCCTCCTACTTCGTAAAGTTCATTTATAGAGGGCCCTTCTAGAGAAGAATAATCCATGGGAGTAAAGTAGTTACCCTTCTCAAGAACAAGCACCTTCAGTCCTGAACTTGCAAGAACAGCAGCTGCAACTCCTCCCCCACAACCAGACCCAACAATTACTACATCACATGATTTGATCTTGAGGATGTTGTTTTCAGCATCTACAGCAACTTCAAGACCTTTCTGAACAAGAGACTCAGGCAGACTCAAATTGGTCTCTTTCATAGCTTCCACTATTCCCTTTTCAAGAGGCCTCTCTTTGTGAATGTTGCTTGTGTTCCCATCAGTGTCAACCTGATATCCAATGGCTTCCCATGCTGGGTTTTCACCATTGTCATCACACTGCACACAAGTGAATATTCCATTACACAGCACATTAATCCAAAAGTCGCATAGGGGTTAAAGAGAAAAATGTTACTGAAAGTATGTGAATCAAGAATGTGTCTTTCTTTACTTGAGAGAAGAAAACAATGAGGCAAAGGACTTTGATGTAAACAAAAGCAAGTCTAATAGGTGTCAGGAACCGATGCTTGAGCCATTTCTGCAGAACCTTTTCTCTGTTTTCCAGAGAAATATTTGAGAAATTATTGATGAAGGGCCATTTGTGACTCAGACAGAGAGACCCACATAGCAATAAAGTGCCCAACCTTGTTGCCAGCATCCATAGAATCACTCTCAGCAGTATCATTGCTTCAGTTAGAGCTCTTTTCATCAGCATCTCTGCAACCTATGCACATTTCAGATTAATATATTTGCAAGCTGTTAGATCACTGACTCTATCAAAGAGAAATGGTTGCATCATAACTGGTAGTGCAAAAAGAAAACATCATTTTCAAAAGTCAAATAGAAAAGTTGTTTGTACATTAATGATATAGAAGCATACCTCTAAGTTTTTTGTGTGTGTATAGATGTAAAAGCAACTCTTTATCGAATTAATAATGAGTTTATAAAATATAATTGTGGCATTTTATAGGAAAAATTATGTGAATACACTACTATTCTGAAAGAAATCGAAAGATGTGAGACATTCTTGAAAGTTGGAAGTTGGAACCATTCCATAAGTTATAAGATAATAAATATATTTTATAAAAAGCAATCACAATAACTAATTTATATTAATAACACAAGAATTATATTTTAGTGATTTTTTTATATAAATTTCATCCTAAAAAGTAAGATGTTACTATTAATGATAGTTATTTTATTCCTTTTTTTCACCTTAAAAATTAAAATTAAAATTAAATTAACAAATATGCAGTTTAGATTTATTAAAAAATTTAATATTTAAATAAAGATGAATTGACATACATAATAAGATAAGATACTAGCTTATATCATTTTTTTAAAAAAAAGTAATGGTTACACATTTATAAAATTTTAATAGAACTCGGCTATAATTCGACAATATTGAAAAGTAATGATTGTATAAGTTAAAGTGATAAGGATCAGTTATTCATCTAGAATCAAAAACAAAATCTCTACTTATCTTAACAAAAAGCTGACCGAAAAATTGTGGTTATTTAATATTTTTTGATAAAAAAAAACTCAAATAAGCACTTGGGTTGTATAATTAGAACTAAATTAAAGATTCGCACATGCTTATAAAAATTATGGTTTGTTAAAAAAATGAGAGAACTTGGATTCGGTTAACACTAATTAAATCTTTAGGGAGAAATGACTGACGAGAAATTTTAACTACGACTCAAAATTAATCTCGTAGCTGATTTAGTGAATTAAAATTTGTGAAAATATTCAATTGACTCACTTCAAAAAATTAATTGGGGTTGATATATAAAAAGAGAGAGAGAAAACAACTCTAACACGAAACTCATTAATTAGAGAACCTAAAGGCGGTACATCCATCATGATTCATGAAAGCTTATGACAATAACAACCACCAATCATATAATTCCGTTTATAACATTTAATATGTAAAGATAGAGATTAATATTTCATTAATGATTAATATTTCTTACGTATAGAAAATAATTTAATTTTTTATATACACATAAAAGTATATGAAATCGGGTGTTGTGTTTAATTTCTTGTAACCTCAAAAAAAAAAGTATATGAAATCATATTTTTTTTCTCTTTCTTCTCACATAAGCCTTACATATTTTTATTTATATATAAAAAAATTATCTATTTTATTTTTATAGAGTTCGTTTTTTCTACAGTCAATGTTGATAACTTATCTACAGTGAACCTAAAATGACGTCGTTTTGAGGCAGAAGTCAAGATATTTTTGTAATTATAATTTATTTCATGGTTATAATAATATTTTTCTTTATAATTGTTTAATTTTTAAACCCAAAACGACATCATTTTATGAGTAAATGTAGATTATCTACATTCACTTTAAAACGTTAAATCCATCTTTATAATATGATAAACATTAATCTCATAAAAATATATTCTGAACTCTTCAATTCAGAAACATTGTACTACAAGTCTACAACTATTTCAATTTAATTTGAGTCTGAAAAAGTAATGTTTATTCCAATTTAAAGTTTGATTTTATTCTTGTAATATAAAATACAGCTTCACTAAAAAAGGGAAAAAGTACTGTCAAGGGCATTACAGTATTTATTTTTTCTTTTCATGTATACATAATGCTTTGAATACATTTCGGAGAACAATAAATTAAAGATATATTTTGGCATATTATGGTAAAAATAAAATTGTCTTTTGTAAGAATTGAGTTGAGTTGGACACCGGAGATTGCAGCATAATTATATTGAGATTTGCATCTATCATGTCACATGATACAAAAAAATTTCTTACACACATAATATTTTGTGAGACTCGCACTTTTTGAAGAAAAAAAAAAAAAACTAAAACACGCAAAACGACTCTCTATAATATTACAGAATTATTTTTTCTACACTATAACTCTTATAAAACTCAATTATATTTATCAAGGAAAAAAAAGCAATGCAGCTTAATTAGATAACTTCAAATTTCGAGGAAAAAAAAGAAAGAAGAGCACTCATTGGTACCTAACACGCTATCGAGAATGCGTGCTAAATTCAAATGATTTGAGCTAAAGTCAATTGTTAAGAGAGGACAACTTTCTCTCTTATTAGTTTGAGGGGAATACTTTTCTCTTTAACAGGAGAGAATAATTGTCTCCTACTGAGACAAAAAAGTGGGACCAACAATTTAAAAAAAAAGTAAAAAAAAAAAACAAAAGCTTAGCACGAAAGTCGATGTATGTGTAGGAATAAAATCTTGTCTCATGTGAAAGGAGAAAAGTATTTCCCTTAGTTTTATATTCTTTCTAATTCTCAAAATAAAAATAAAATAAAATAAATAAAAAACTAATAATACAAATGTCAAGATTTCTAATTTACACTCTCCACCCAAGCATTTCGGAAATTATGAAGATCAAGATATGATCTCAAACTTTTCTGTTTGTCAAATACAAGGAAGAATGTGTTATTAATTAATTCCCAATAATCTTTTTTTTTCTGAATTATAAATCCAATAATATATTTGCAGGAAACCCCTTCCATAATCCCTGAGGGAAATTATGCAGTTGATAATCTTTCCGTGATGAATACTTTTGTTTATGATAAAAAGCAAAAAAGCAATAAATAAAAACAGACAACTTTTTGTGACGGTGAAAGAGACAAGAAAGTGGTACCTGGTCAGGTACAGAGAATTCAGATGCGGAAGCTTTCCAGAAGAACTGGACAGCCTTGGTTGTTGGGTTGTTATCCATCGTGTCCAAACATTCCAACCGCAGAGGAGGCAATAGTGCCTCACATATGCTTCCTAATGATTCCATCTGAGCTGAAGAAAAAGCATGTATGTATTTTTTGCCTCCTCTTCTTCCACCTTTTAGTAAAGGATGACACTCTCTCTTCATTTCTCTTTCTCTCCCTCTCCACAAGAAAACACTATTACTTTTGGAAGTCTATGCTAGCTACGATTAATTAATCAACCATGGACCATGGTGGTGTACTTATAGAGAGTGCTTGCTTTTCTTAGATTAAAAACCAAAGACAGGTGTCAAAAACCATACATACTCTGCATCCAAAATAAAACCCATACATACTCTCTCTCTCTCTCTCTCAAGAAAAACTGTACAAATTTAAAGCATGAGCCTTTTCTGGACAAAATAATTTAAACCTTTTCTAAATTTTCCATTGCACCCAATTAGACCCTTTTCTGGTTTCTTCTACCATCGATGATTAATGACTAGTGAGAAAATAAGCCCATATTTTTTTTCATATTATACAATGGGAATGATATTGTAACAACTAATTAGTGTTACTATCAACGTTACTATCAATTAATTTTACCGTTAGATCGATTATGTTGATCCAGTTATATTTATTTTCATCTTTCTATGGTTATGATTCCCCATATTTAATACTATATATTTATTTTCACATTTGTATGGTTATGATTTCTCATATTTAATGCTTTCATATTAATATAAAGAATCATGACCATACAAAGGTGGAAATAAATATAATCGTTGAATCAACATAATCGATCTAATGATGAAATTGATTGGTAATAACACTAATTGGTTATTACAATATCTTATCCCTTATATAATTGGGGAATATTTTTTTCATGTTACATCATACACATATAAAAAGTGAATGATAGTCTTCTTTTTTTGTAGTGAGTTTCATTCACTTTTTATGCATTGTATGAGATAATTTTGTCTCATAAAACATGAAAAATATATTTCTGTATATAATTTTTGAAAAAAATATTTCTCCTGTCACATAAAAAAACAATTATTTGGGAGGGATTTAAAGCCTTAATCCTAGATCCACCCCGAATCGGATTAGTTGCGAAGCAATGAACCGATTGGAATATTAAAAAAAAAAAAAACAAACAATTATGTGATGTTATCTCGATAGGAAAAATGATAAACTCATAAATTTTCTTTGTGAGGAACATTTATGTGTCATTATCAATCATGAATTATTATTTTTTATTTGTATTCAATTCCTGAAAAAAAAAAATCCAGGTATTGACAGTTTCATAAATCTATTCCTTCAAGGAAACTCCTAGTATTAAAGAACACATTTAATTCTGTGATTTGCTTTAGAATCATCTATGCTCCTGTGATTTTTTTCTATCATATATGTTCCTGTGCTTTGTAAAAAATAAAAAACCATAGGGGCATATGTGATAAAAAAAACATACCTTTTTGCAAACTACAGGGGCATATGTGATAGAAAAAAACCACAAGGACATAGGTGATTCTGAAGCAAATCACAGGGGCATTGGTGAACTTTTTCCTATATTGTTCTTATTTTTTATTTAAATTGATTTTCAGTTCTATCAATTAACCGCTATTAGTTTTTTTTTTTAAATAATGGGAGTATTGGGATTTGAAACTATGATTTCATGCAAATTATCTTAACTCCTCACCACTAAATCAATTCAAGTAGTATAATACCCCAAATTATTAATAATAATAATAATAATAATAGAAAATAGTAATAATAAAATTAATAGTAATAATAAAATTAAAAATAAATAGAATGTGCATCATAATATTGAGTCAGCAATATCCTATGAATCAGCCATGAGTCAGAAATATCCTATCTAATAAATACAAAAAGAAGAATTGTATATTCAAGTGTGTATAATACAGGATATAATATCATGAGCCCATAAGAAAACTAAAAGGAAAGAAATCCAAAGAAGAAAAGTAAACAAATAATCCTAAGAAAAAAAGGAAACAAATAATTACATGAAGAAAAGGAAACAAATTATATAAGGAAAAAAGGAAAACAAATTCTATAAGAAAACAAATTCAATTATTTACAATAAAGCCCATATCATGAACCAACTTGGAAAAAAAAAACTTCAGCTATAAATAGGTGGCTTAACCTAACCAAACCAAATCACTTCCAATCTCTATCACCTCTCCATTTCCTTTCTCCTCTTTCTTCTTATTTCCATTTTTTTTTAAATTTTGTTGTTATTATTTTTCTTTGGCTACCAATTATGCTTTCCCTCTCTAAATTCACTCTCCTCCCTAGGAAGTCATCAAACATGGAGTCCAGGTAATCATAGTCCTTAGAGATAGGTTAATTAAATGAATATTATTAGGAACTTTATTGGATTTAATTTTTTTTAGGTTAATTATATTGTTTAGAATTATAACCTCAAGAAAATATCAAAATTAATTATATAATTATTTATATTTGGATATTTGACATGGAAATTATGATACTCTTGGATAATTGATTTGGAAATTATACTCTTGGATAATTGATGTGGAAATTATTAAAAATCTTTGAGGAAATTTTTCAAATATGTGGTTTGTGATAAAGTTTAAGTTTTCCTATTTGTGTGTGATTGTGATAAGATAATAGTGAGAAAATAACTTTTGGGATGATACCTGCTGAAAGTGATGAGCAGTATACTCGTGAAAAACATATAAGCGGATCTGCAAGCATGGAGCTCGTCCTTATGTGTTATATGGAAATCTGACCACTCTGAACTCTTTCTTTAACAACCAGAAACTTTATACCGATGTACTTCGATTTTGAAGAGCTTCTATTATTGTTGGAGTACAACACTCTGACTATTGTCATGATAAATCTTTAGTGGATTTTCAATACCATTTACTATACACAGCCCCGTGACAAAATTTCATAGACACACCCTATGGTTTGACACCTCAAAACAAGCTAAAAATTTAGCGGCCATAATAAAGGAAGCTACGAGTGTCTGCTTAGCACTCTTCCAAGAAATAGCTCCTCCAGCTAACATGTAGACATAACCTGATATGGATCTTTTATTGTCTTGACATCCAGCAAAATCGAAGTCAGTATACCCAATGATCTCTAATTCATCTGACCTCTGATATGTGAGCATGTAATCTTTTGTTCTCTTTAAATACCACATAACCCTCTTGGCTGCTTTCCTACGATCCACTCCTTGATTGCTCAAGTATCTACCTAATACTCCCATTATAAATGCTATATCAGGGCGAGTACAAACCTAAGCATACATAAGGCTTTCTATTGCCGAATCATAATGTACCTTTGTCATTTCCATAATCTCAAGCTTACCTTTGGGGCATTGACCGAGACTACACTTGTCTACATTAGATATGGGTGTGTCTCCTGATGTACAACCCTTCATGCCAAATCTATCCAAAATCTTTTCAATATAGGCCTTCTGTGATAACCGTAGGATACCTTGAGAGCGATCTCAAAGTATCTGTATCCCTAAGACAAAAGATGCATCACCAACATCCTTCATCTAAAAAAAACTTATGAGAAATTTTTTGGTTTCACGCAATAAGCCTATATCGTTGCTGGCAAGTAATATATCATCAACATATAGTATCAGGAATATGAATTTACTCCCACTGAACTTGTGGTACACATAATCTTCTACCAAGTTCACCTCAAAGGCATAGCAGATGATAACTTGATGAAATTTATGATACCATTGACAAGAATCTTGCTTAAGGTCATAGATGAACTTCTTTAATTTTCAAACCATAGACTTTGAATCTCCAAATACAAAGTTTTCTGGTTGCACTATATAAATGGTCTCATCAATGTTACCATTGAGAAACTCTGTTTTTACATCCATCTGATATAGCTCCAAATACAAATGAGCCACAAGTACCATTATGGTCCAAACAAAGTCTTTTGTAGAAACCGAAGAGAATGTCTCTTTATAATCTATGCATTCTTTCTGAGTGAAACCTCTAGCAACTAGACGTGTCTTATATCTTTTGATATTGCCCTTGGAATCCCTTTTGATTTTGAATATCCATTTACAACCAATGGGTTTTGTGCCTTTAGGAAATTCGACAAGATCCCAAACGTCATTATCTTTCGTAGATTTCATCTCATCTTTCATGGCATCAATCCATTTATGAGCATCAGAGCTTTCTAAGACTTGTTGAAAGTTGATTGAATCATCTTCTTTCAAGCCTAAAATATTTTCATGCTCTTGAAGAAACACAATATAATCATCTAGAATTACGTTTCTCCTTTAGTGGATCTCCTTAATGACACTTCTTGAATTTGTTGAGTTTGTTCTTCATGTGGCATAGGAGGTGGTTCATTGTTGTCTTGACCTAAAGAAATGTCAGGGACCGAACCTGTTCCATAATAATGTTATAAACAGGGACCTGATCATTAATTGTTTGTACCAGAATTGCATCTTGAATAATGATAATATTAGGAAGAGAAATATAATTTTCTTCCTCATTAAAGACAACACTCCTTACTTTATCTTCCTCTTCAAACTATCCTTAAGGAATCTGGTATTTCTCGTCTAAAAAAATAATAAGTCTTGTATTAGGATTTTAAAACTTAAAGCCCTGAAAGTGTTCAACATATTCAACAAAATAGCAGCTAATTGTTCTTGAGTCCAACTTTCTTTCATTTGGCCTATAATGTCTTGCTTCAGTTGGACAATCCCAAATGTGTAAATGCCTTATGCTATAATTATTTCCAGTTCATAACTTATAGGGGTTTTAGTCACTACTTTAGTTGAAGCCCTATTAAGGACATAAACTGCAGTATTTAGTGCTTCTCCTCAATGTGACTTAGGTAAAGAAGAATGACTAATCATACTTCTCACCACATCTTTAAGTGTTTTATTTCTTCTCTGCGCAAAAATAGCAGGTAAATACCTTATCCTGTTTCTTTTGCTTATTTAGCATGAGTGATTTATCTATAGCGTTCTTAGCTCTCTTTTTTCTCATATTTTGAGAGGTTGATTCTAAATGAGTACTATTAGTCTTTTCTCATTGAAGCCTTTCTTCCTCTTGCACACAACGAGCAACGAGCTCATTAAGAGTCCATTTATCCTTTTGGGTATTGTAACTCACTACAAACTGACCATATTGTGCAAAAAGAGAAATAAAAACCAAGTGCACGAGCAAATCATCAAATAACTCTAACATTAGTCCCTTGAGTTTTCTAGCGAGATTAGACATCTCTATAATATATTCCCTTATGTTCCTTTTTCCTCCAGACCTCATATTAATGAGTTTGGACAAGGTGTGACCAATTTTGGCCTTTTCATTTCGAGTAAAGTATTTCTCGAGTTCCTTCAGAAACTTCTTGGTATCAATAGTCTCAACTATCGAGCCCCTAAACGCCTTTGGAACGGAGCGTTTCATGATCATTAGACACATGCGATTTGAGTGTTCTCACTTCTTAATCATATCTATATTCGGATTTTCTGGAGTGGGAGTGTGTTTCTTAATCCTTAGCGCATTGTCAAAATCTATGCAACCGATAATATTGCCACATTCTCTTTTCACGGCTTGAAATTTGACCCATTAAGCATGTGAATGATATTCACTTGAGCAACAAAGTTAACTATAGTAGCAGAAACTATATAGAGAACAAATAAAATAACATACATCACATCCATGTCATACCAAATGTGCAACTAAAATAAAATGCACATACATGACATTAACAAACAATCTAAAGCAAAGTGAGCCCATTTAGAAGATACCTAGCACAATATCGACATTTGATCTTTGGAACAAAAATATCAATTTGTAAGTGGTACTCTTAACGCAACAATCAAATATTGACAACAAATCCTGTCAAGCAATAGCCTTCCTTTGGGCCGACTATTGCTCACATGGAAAATCTTTATAATCGTGACATATTTATTGTCACATGTATATATATTATTTAGCCAAATAATAACCTTCTATTGGGTCGATAATTATTAGCATAAATAATAAATATACTCATCTTTATACATTATAATAAATTATTATACACAACAGAGGTTACTTTGGCAGCAATATTCTTTCAACTAATTTATTATAAAATACAAAAAAATTAAAAGGAATAATGATTAAATAAAATAAACATAAACCAAATGCTTATTTTACTTAATTAAATACCTGATTTCCATAATTTTAATGCTTTCAATTTTGTGAATGAGATTACAATAAAATTATCCAAACTTTGTCATAATGGATTGAGCATAATTCCTTATAGCAAAGTATTTAATTATATAAAGCTTTAGTTGCTGACGGTAATAATCCTTAAATATAAATAAATAAATAAATAAAAATTCCAACAAATTATTGACATGGCTACTAATTCAAGAACAACATGCTCAACATTAATGTCATATCATATGTATAGTCAAACAACGCAATATATATATATATATATATATATATATATATATATATGATATTGACCGATAATCAGAAGCCAAATGGATTTATTTACAAAATACCTAACACAACATTGACATTTAGTCTTTGGACAAAAATATCAACTTGTAAATGGTACTCTCAATGCAGTGGTCAAACATTGACAATAAGTCCTGTCAAACCATAGCCTTCCTTTGGTCCAACTATGTCTCACATGGTGAATCTTTAATGTAACACCCTGTATATATCCGGCAATGTTATCATATCACCGTATTAAGCTGCGCTTAATTAAAAATGCGGAATATCTTTTTCTTTTCGATTATGACGTCATTATCATTACCAACTTGCTTAATTAATCAATTAAATAAAATCGTGCCTGTATGTAAATTGCAAAAGATAGCTAACTGAAATACCTCATTAATTAAAATAACAGATATATGTCTCTAGTCACGGAACTACAACACGTAGACCGGGCCAACTAGCAGTTTATACAACTCAAGCTAAAAGTACTAGCAATATAGTGGCATGGACAACTCTCATGCTCACCCAAATAAGGCAACAAGGCCCAACATAAGTCTCAACTCAATTATCATAAATGACAGAAAACATAAACAACATCCAATCCAGTCATGCCAGCATAAATATAACAGCAATAATCATCAATTAAGCTCTGGCCTCCTGCCGCCAGAGGCATCAGTCCTCATACTACCTGAACCTAAAATAAGCATTCCCCAAACGTGGGGTGAGATCTCTAAACAAGAAATCTCAGTAAGACAAGGGGTCCTCAAGGATCTTCCACCCCAAGCTCACTTACATGTGCAATATAAGTTCTAAAAGCAGTAATTCAATATCAGTTCCAAAATCAGTGCAATGCAACAGATATTCATGTCATGTGTGTTATAACTATTCTACTGATCAAAAAAATGCAGGAATAGGTCTATTACCCACATAAATGCCAGCCCATGGTGTACCAGCCCATGCTGTACCAGCCCATGCTATACCCGCCCCCAGGAATACCCCATGACATCTTGTAGGGGTGTTCATCAACCGATCCAAACCGATTCAAACCGCGGTGACCGAACCGAAAAACCGATAACCGAATAAACCGAAAATCGAAAAAATGAAAACCGAATAAAAACCGCAAATTTTAATTGGATTGGATCGGTTTTTGGATGGGTTGATGAAAACCGATCCAATCCAAACCGATCCAATATATTAATTTCCCTCTACCTACTTGGGTATTTCCCTAATCATAGCCTAAAAATTTCTAAACCCAAGACCCATTAACCCATCAACTAAACCCAAGAAAAAATCTAGTCATATTTCATCAACAAAATTTTATCTTTGTAGAGCTTCATATCTCATTGCCAAAATTAAAAAAATTATATTATAGTTTATTAATGCTTTTGTATTTCAATTTTTTTTTTACAAAGCCAATATATACAAAAGATGTTATTTGCACAATAATCATGAAATAAATTTTAGGATTTTCAAAAAACCGAAAACCGATCCAATCCAAACCGAAAAAAATTGGATTGGATTGGATCAGATTTGAAAAAAATCAAAACCGAATGGATGATTATATGATCAAACCGAAGGGATTGGATCGGATGATTTTTGCTTCCAAAACCGATCCAATCCAGACCGCGAACACCCCTAACATCTTGTTTAGACAGAACACCACATATATATCATATAGCATTTGCACTTAACAGTTCAATGGCAATTCAGCAAAACAATACATGAAAACACATCATGCATATAAACCATCCCGCCATGGAGTATGGTGGAACAGACAATGGCTAAACTGAGGACACAAAAGCTTACCTTGCAAGCTAGCTATCCAAGCCAAGAGTCCACAATACCTCAGAGTCCACAAATAGCAAGATCACAATCTGTTTGGACCAACAATATCATCAATATTTATGCACAACAAGCATATGATTTAAAGACAACGCCATTTGTTTACGTTTTACGTCTCAAGGCTTCTCACAAACAATACATGAAAACACATCATGCATATAAACCATCCCCCCATGGAGTATGGTGGAATAGACAATGGCTAAACCGAGGACACGAAAGCTTACATTGCAAGCTAGCTATCCAAGCCAAGAGTCCACAATACCTCAGAGTCCACAAACAGCAAGATCATAATCTGTTTGGACCAACAATATCATCAATATTTATGCACAACAAGCATATGATTTAAAGACAACGCCATTTCTTTACGTTTTATGTCTCAAGGCTTCTCACAAAGCCATAAGCCCTTAATCCCTTGATTCTGACTTATATTAATTATTACAGAAGTTAAACTCCAGCAATCTAGGGTCCACTATCCCATAACTCAGTACTGTATGAACAGTACCTTCACTATTCACGAAAACCCAGAATATCCGGATATATGTCGGGGCATATCCGGATATCTCTTTGCCAATATCCGGATATCAATATCCGGATATCCAGATACCCATATTCGGATATCAATATCCGGATATTTCGCGACAGAATGCAGTTTCTGCATTTCGCGAGATATCACTCCAAAGGTTCATCTTTTAACCCATTAAAACGTTAAAGCATCATTTTTACTCTGTTCTAGGTTCATATATCAGTTGGTTACTTGTTTAACTCATTTACATGCAAAGACACCACCTTTAAACCAATAAAACTCATGATCAAGGTTAGACAACTCACCCCAAGGCTTAAAACAGAGGAATGAGTGCTCTTGGAGCTCACCAACAACCTCCAAGGTTCTTACTTAGAAGATGCACGAAAATGGCACACAACAATGGTTCCTTTCCTTCAAAGACTACTCCTAGAAGCTCAAAATGCCTTCACAAAGGCTCCACCCTCACAACTCAGCAACACAACCCCTAAGTCTCACCAAGACAGACCTCAAACTCAGAAAGGTGAAGGCTTTCACCCTCCAAACACACACCTCTATGTGTTTACAAGGTTAAAAGAGAAGAATCCATGGTAAAAGAGGTGACTTGGGAGAGTTTTCATGCAAGAAGGTCAAGGAAAGAAGGTGACCAGCATGAGAGTTCAAAATTCAGAATAGGGGCACGTAGGAGGTTGTAAAATGCCTTAGAAATCTGTGCCATTTAGTATTTATAGGCGGTTTAAGGTTAATCGCACTGTATTAGCGCTAATCGTTACGCTTAACATTTTAATCCCAAACTTTGGAATCTGAACCTACTCATTTTTCTAAGATTTTTCATATTTTTATTTTATTTTTCGGAGCACATTTCCGGTACGCGCTTTTCATAGCCAGTATCAGTTTCTGGCACCAGTTCTCATTATTTTACCTTGAAACTCGTTTTACAAGTCCTATATATTATTCTAGGAATTATCATGCACTTATTATAATTTTCCGGGATACTTTTTCGGTACGCATTTATACCGACTAGCAGAACCGGTATCTGCACTTTTCGTCAGAAAGCGACTTTCAGCATTATTACTCACTTACCATAATTATTTTAACCTCGTAATAATTATTAGGGTCAATTATGGAATTATTTTCTAATTTCACATACTTAATTAATTAACTTCCTTAATTAACGGTGCGGGTTCTTACACTTAACAATTGTCACATATTTATTACCACAAGTATGTCCATTGCTTGGCCAAATAATAACCTTCCCTTGGGCCGATTATTATCCACATAAGCAATAAATACACACTTGATCATACAACATATATTATTTGGCTAAACAACTACCTTCCTTTGGGCCGATAATTACTCGCATAAATAATATATATTTATATGATCAACCTATTTGAAATCAAATTAACCTTTACAAATTTGGCTACTTTGGCGGCTAACAAAACTATCATATTCAATTTCAAATAGAAACCTTTAGGGATAATAAATTCATTTAAAACTAAAATAACAACAATAAAGAAAATTATTCTTTATTAATCGTCAATGTATATACATACACGCTGCAATACCAAAAAAAAATTTATATTTGACTTTTAACAAAGAATACCCC